ATGCATCAGTCCAAAATAAGTTAAATAAAAAGTGCCCATCCATAAAAAAGTGTCTCACACGGCTCCGGAGGGTGAACAGAGGCCTTCTATAGCGAATCGATGCGTTATTCAAAACGTAATAATCACTTTAATGTAGCTTGCGGCAGCGAGAGCGCGGACGTCTCCTTATGCTTTCTCTCGCCGTACTTTGATGTCATACACCGATCGATCTTCAAGTGGAACACACCTCTTTACTCTCGCGTGTCACGTGACCGAGTGTAATCGCAGCCCCTGTGATTGAAAAAATCGTGTTTTTTCATATCACGATATTATCGCAAATGCAATTAATCGTTCAGCCCTACATTAAACAGCTTGAAAGACCAAAGACAATTTTTAATATAACTCCGACTGGATTCGTCTGAAAGAAGAAAGTCATATACACCTAGGATGCCTTGAGGGTGAGTAATTTATGGTCTAATTTTCATTTTCGGGTGAACTAACCCTTTAATAATCAATTTAACTCATAAGACTTTAACTACTTTTATTTTTGATTAACTGGCTGCTAGAGATGCGAGCGGACTGACCTGCCAGATGATCATGAACAGATAGACTCCCGTCACTCTCTGTAAGGAGGACTTGGGGTCGAGCCAGCGCACGTATGTCCAGCTGGCGGGAGTGAACTGCAGCGCTGCGCGCTTGATCTTCCCCGTGGTGCTGTGGATGTCTCTGTGCAACACAAACACACTCGTTCAGCTCGGTCAGTCTCTGCCAGACGCTCTCAGAAGCAGTGTTAGAGTGGTTTCTTACTTGATGCTGGCCCAGTGATACGTGCGCATCTCCAGGAAGCGGCAGACGGTCATTCCCAGCCAGATCCCTCCGCCGTTACACAGCAGGATATCCAGAATGACCTGATCCCACCAGCACTCCGCGAAATTCGGAAGAAGATGCATGAAGAAGAGCTGCGTGGAGAGATTGCTCGAGTTATTGTGTCTCGTCGACCCACAAATTATTTTGGCAGTTTCTGTCATTAGCATGTTTCTAACGAACAAAGAGAAGTCGTAAGAAGCAGTTTTTAAGAAGTTAACTTAAGTAGTTTTAACAATTTTATTAATATATTGTGGTATTTATTTTAATTAATTGTATTTAATAATTAAATAAATAATAATAATAATAATAAATAAATAATAATTATTATTATTAATACATAATAATTGAATTAATATTTATTTATTTGTATTTAATTATATTTATCAATATTTCTCACTATACAATTTGGAGACAGACTCACTATAACAAAAAATATTTGTGATGAAGGATGAAGTGAGAAATATTGATCAACTCTGACTTCATCCTACATTTTAAATGCGTATTTTTTTTGTGTGTTTTTTTTTCACTGAGCATTTCACAATGCATTCTGGGATTGCTAAACTGGATTTTGAACAAAACTAAAATGAGAGTAATTATTTGGAGCCAGTTGCTGAACAATATCAAATTTTATTTTATCCCAAAAATTCCGTTTTAATATTATTAAAATTTCAACAATAATACGGCCCAATGAAAGGTGCTCTATTTATTAATTTATTTATGTCTTTTTTTTTTTTTAAATAAATTCTGTGTTGTTGGTTTTAATATTAATATTATTATTTTAAAAATCAAATTGTTTGATTTAATTTTAAAAAGCATGTTTTTATTAAATATGATTAAATTAACATTGTATTAAATATTTTATAATATTTTCAACAATAAGGCCCAATGAAATGTGTTTTTTTTAATTCACCCTTCATCTTAAATTATTTTTCTAAAATTGCCTTATTACTGATACATTTTAATGGTTTGGCTTTTTTAGAAATGTGTTGTCTGTTTTAATTTTTAATTGAATTAAATAATTTTGAAAAAAAAAAAAATTAAATTTTTTTTTTTTATATAATTAAATCTTTAAGAATTTTGTTGCGTGTTTTTGGCTTTTTTAATGTGTCTATATAGTTTTTATTAATTTTTAATTCAGTTTTAGTTATTTTAGTACTTCAAGTTAAACTAAATGAAAATGAGAAATGAAAGGTGTTTTATTTTTTATTTATCTTTTTTTTAGACATTCTGTGCTGTTGGTTTAAATATTTAATTTAATTAATTTTAAGATAAATTAATTTTATTTGAATTAATTAAAGGTTTAATTATTTTGTTGTGTTTTTGTCCTTTTTAACATGTCTATATTGTTCCTTATATTATTTTATTTCAGTTCAGTTTTAGTTTTTATTTCAGTTTTAGTTTTAGTTATTTTAGTACATCAATTTAAACTAAATAAAAATGAGAAATGTTTCCTTGGCAACTAGTTGAAGTAAAATAACTTTCTTTATTACTATTATTAATTTCTTATCATTAAGTAAATTCTGTGTTTAATTTCTCTGTATTCTGTGTTTTATGATTTAATACAAATTTATTATCGAAAAGAGTGGCAATCAAATGAATTAATCCTGTTGAAAACAATTTGTTTAATCTCTTAAAAAGTAATCAAATGAAAATGTAACAATTCCTTTTATTTTCTGGCAAACATAATCAAGTGGTCATTAGCTGTGAAACATCATATGTGAGCCTGGAGCACAAAAGCAGTCTTAAGTCTCTGGGGTATATTTGTAGCAATAGCCAACAATACATTGTATGGGTCACAATTATAGATTTTACTTTTATGCCAAAAATCATTAGGATATTAAGTAAAGATCATGTTCTATGAAGATATTTTGTAAATTTCCTACCGTAAATATATTTGATTAGTAATATGCATTTCTAAGAACTTCATTTGGACAACTTTAAAGATGATTTTCTCAATATTTAGATTTTTTTGCACCCTCAGATTCCAGATTTTCAAATAGTTGTATCTCGTCCAAATATCGTCCTAACAAACCATACATCAATGGAAAGCTTATTTATTCAGCTTTCAGATGATGCATAAACCTCAATTTCAAAAAATTGACACTTAAGACTGGTTTTGTGCTCCAGGGTCACATATATTCTTCTATGAATGGCTGTGAGAGCGAAGTGTGAGGCCTTCACCTCGGTCAGCTCCCAGGTGATGCTGATGGTCCAGCACAGTCCATAGCTGCGGATCAGCAGAGCCTTCATTCCCCAGCCCCAGAAATGACTGAAGGCGAAGATGTCGAAGTGGCTGAGGATTCGCTCCCAGGTGATCACATGACAGTTCACGGCATACTCCTGTCAATCATCACCGCAGTGACACTTCAAGTCAAGCCACCTTTATTTATACAGCGCTTTATACAATACTGATCGTGTCAAAGCAGCTGTACAGTGGACAATAACAAAGAGACAATTTTCCAGCTAAAATCAGTTCATGCTTTTTGATTATTTAATCAAAAAGCATTTAATTTATTATTTAGCATGCGCTAAAGTTGCTATTTTGGGTGTAACTACATTAAACTGAATAAGTTTTATGTTCTCAATCTGTCCACCATTTTAAATTATTAAAAAATAATAATAATAATTCTGGATACTGTTTTAATTTAATTTTAATAATCAAATGGTTTGATTTAATTTTAATAATGAAAAATAATTTAATTTAATATTTTTTTATGTTCTCAAATGTGTCCTCCATCTTAAATTATTTTTTCTAAATTCATTCCATATTTTAATTTTACTGGATTCTGTATTTAATTTTAAAAATCAAATAAATTGATTACATTTTTAAAAAGCATGTATTTTATTAAATTATTATTATTATTTGAAATATTACATTATAAAAATATTTTATTAGTATTTTTTTTAAATATTAAATTGTAAAAAATAGTTTATACAATTTTCAACAATAGGACCCAATGAAATGTGTGTTTTTTTTTTTATTATTCATCCTGCATCTTAAATTATTTTTCTAAAATGTGCCTTATTACTGATATATTTTAATGGTTTGACTTAATTCTAATAATCAAAGAACATGTCTAATTATTTAAATTCATAAACCTTATTCAACAATAAATGTTAATTAAATAATTTTAAAATAAAAAAATGCATTGACAAATAATTTTAATTTAATTAAAGCTTCAATAATTTAGTTCTGCATTTTTGTCTTTTTTTAATATGTCTTTTTTATTTATAATTTATATCTAAAATATTATACAGTTATTTTAGTATATCAAATTAAGTTAAATTAAATTGAGAAATGTTTCCTTGGCAACTAGTTGAAATAAAAGAAGTTACATTTTTTTTAAATATCGTATTTCAGTTCATGTTTATTTTATGTCAAGTCGCAATTTTTTTATGGTTTTAGTTTTACTAATAAAATATATAAAGCTGATTTGTGAATATTTTTGAACATAATGCATTCGTGAGCTGTTCCTTTAACAACAGAACTAGGTCATCACTGACCATGACGTCGGCTTCCCGTTTGGCGTAGCGCAGATTGGGATCCAGCCAGAACATGAGAGACTTGACCTGCTCCCAGTTCAGGAAGATGATGAAAACCAGGAAGAGGAAGTAAAGCACACTCAACCCTGCACAACCACATAAGCACACAACCACACCCTTCAGAAAGAGGAAGCACGCCAACCTACAAACCCAACCACTCAGACCTGCCCTTTCATCCTCTATTCATGTTTATTATTAGGCTTCAAAAACAAGCGTCTGATCCACTCACCGAACACTATCCGCCATATTGCTGGATGGGGTCTCGTGAAAGGACCTGAAAAGAGACAGAGAGGTTATGAACGATTAGTCGACGTCATCGACAATAAAAAATGTTGACAAATATTTGAATCGTCTCATATGAGGTAAAGTAAGGGCCTGCAGTAACGCGGTTTGACCAGTGTGGCGCTGTAGTGCAAGACTGTACTGAGCAACTCACAGCAAAGTCTGTTGTCGTTATTCATTTAGAGGTAAAAAGTAGAAAACAGCAGTTCCCTTTCAGTCGGTCACTCCCGACGTCATTTATACGTTTTATATAGTGCATTTATATAGTGTTTTATACGTTTTATATAGTGCATTTATATAGTGCTTTATGCAATCGATTGCTTTAAAGATTAAACATGAAAAAACGTGTCAGTGTCGCTTTCATTTAGAATTGCAACTTGATTGTCTGCTATAAAGCAGCTCTCCAGTGTTAAGCTAACTAATGTTATATCTTTTTATTATTTACAATAAAATAAAAAATTTAATTAAATACATAAATTAATTAAAACACAAAAATGACGAAAAAGTGATAGTTTGGTTCGCACAGATATTTTATTAAAATTCCGACAATAACAGCGTCCAAAGAAATTAGTTTTTTTGTTGTTGTTTTTTTAATGAAATTTGTCCTTCATCTTAAATGATTTTTCTAAAACTTGTCCGATTTATATTTTTCCAAATTTTGTTTTAATGGTTTGACTTAATTTTAAATAACCAAAAAGCAAGCCTAATCGTTTAAATCCATAAAACTTCACAAAAAATTAACAATAATTGGGTTCAATAGAATTGTGTTTTATTTTTTTATTTAATTAATTTTAAAAATAAATAAATTTATTTTAAAACATTTTAATTTAATTAAAGCTTAATTTTGTTGTGTTTTTGTCTTTTTTTAATATGTAATATATATGTTATATATAGTTTTGATTCATTTTTATTTCAGTTTTAGATACTTTAGTACATAAAGTTAAACTAAATAAATGAGAAATGTTTACTAGCATGAATGTTAACTTGCTGAAAGAAATTAAGAACGTCTGTTTGTCATCTCATTTTGTGTGCCAAATATTTGTATTGTAAAAAATATATATATATATATTTTTTTTTAATTATATATGTATATTGTTTACAAAATATATATATTTTTTTTTTTACATAATTATAATATAATTTTTTAAAATATATTTTAATATATATAAAACAGAATAATTGTAATTACATAATGGTAATACAACTGTAATAGCAATATAATTGTTTGACATTTTACAAAGCTGAAGTGATTACTGTGTTTTATTTATTAGTTAGAATATGAATAAGTCAATAGTTTAACTTCGCAAAAGCTGAATAATCGATCTAAGCCTACTGACTGATCAGTGAAATCTCTGACCATTAATCATTCACATAATCATTAGATTCATTGATTATCAAACTAATCATCTGTTGTGGTCCTATTATGAAGCCGATCACATGTGTGACCATGATCATAAAACACTTTAGGCCAAACATGCTGGGCACGGAGCTCTTCAGTGCGACATCACGACTCTTACCGTTGGGGAAGGCGAGAACGCTGATGACCAAGAAGAAGGAGATGACCAGGATGAGACCCACCCACAGGTTATTGTCAGTGTTTCCATCATCTCTGCAACAGAAACATGCGGTCACACTCTGAAACAATTCACCACACACACACACACACACACACACAGACACAGACGCACACAGAGACACACACACACACTCTCTCACACACACACACACACACAGCCACACACTCTCACACACACAGCCACACACTCTCACACACACAGCCACACACTCTCACACACACAGCCACACACTCTCACACACACAGCCACACACTCTCACACACACAGCCACACACTCTCACACACACAGCCACACACTCTCACACACACAGCCACACACTCACACTCTCTCTCACACACACACACACACACACACACACACACACACAGCCACACACTCTCACACACACAGCCACACACTCTCACACACACAGCCACACACAGACACACACAGACACACACACACACCAGAAGATGCAGTCAGACGCGTCACACAACTGAACACAAAGAATGAACGTGTGTAATTACACTGCAGGAAAATAGCTTCCTGACATTTTGAAAACATAAATCATTTTTCTTCTATTGACAATGCTGTTGAAAGAGTCTGAAACCGACAGCGTGGGAACTACCACTTCTGTTTTCACCCAAGCAAACACATCATCGTCAGATGACGGCAGTCACGAAATGGACAAAAAAACGTAATGTTGCAATGAGATGAAAGTTGCAACAGATTTTCTTCCATATTGTGAGTGGATTGCAGTGGATTTCAAGAAAGGGGCGGAGTTTGAGCAGATAAATGATTGGAGAAGTCTTGCAAATGCATTAGAGGGGAGTCCGATGTTTTCACTGGAAGATCAAGTAAAAAAAACTAAACAAAATGCATAATGGATGAACCGTTCACAATAAGATCAATAACATGCATTTAGAAAAAAAAGGTGAATTTTCATGTCAGTTATATCTAAGAATAAATATCTTAAAGTCGGCATGAAACAGAGGTTGTACTGTATTTTCAACTGAAATTGAAAACAAGAAAAAAAAAAAAAAGTAGGACGGACTTGATTTTATTCATCTGTTTTTAATTCGATTGTAAAAGGTGAGCCGTGCTGAACTGCAGCGAGCCTCACATACATGACAAACGGCAAGCGTTTACAGCGCAGAAGAGCAACTTATGAAATTTCGATTAAAGATTGCAAAGTCAGTTTTGATAAATGCACAGATTTTGTTTGTGCACATAATTGTTTACAATAAGACCAGTTAAAAAGAAAAAACAGATGAAAATAGAAGGAAGGAATAATAGGAGAAAAATAAAAAAGGAGAAAATAAAAATAGAAAAATAAAACCAATAAAAATAGAAGAAATGTAAATAGAAAATAAAAACGGAAAAAATTGAAAAATAAAAATAGAAGAAAAAAGAAAAATGAATGGATAACATGGATATAATTTGTAATTTTTATCCTATTGTTTATAATATTTATTTTCTCAGTCATTGTCTTTATGGGCAGGGCCTGAATTTCGTTTTGGAAAATGGGGGGGATTTTTTAATTTGAGGGGATTTTTTTAGACATATTTTCAAACTACAATCGTCCAACCTAAATGTTTCGTCACCCGGTGTATTTGTGTTTTACTATTTATAATGTTGTTGATTCATATTTATATTGTGAGGAAGATTCTTAAAAAGAACTTTGATTTCAAACTCTGAATTTAATTTATTTTAACTAAAAAAGACAAGTAAACAGTCAGTAATAAAATAAGAACAGATAAATGACAAGCAACGGCACAAACAAATACAACAAAAAGATACAAATAAACTGTGCTTTAGGTTTTTCAGGTATAACCATAATATTCAGGTACAGAAATACCACAAAAACTTTTGAACAAGATGATGTGTACATTTTTCTTATTTTTGATTAAAGATCATATTTTATTCATTTAGTACTGCACTTCAGGAGCTACATAAATACATACGTGTTTCCCAGAAGACAAAATAAGGACAATTTGCTAAACTCTGCAGGACACCGGCCCTCCAGGACCGAGTTTGGGCACCCCGCTTTAGAGAATAAGATGGTACTAATTTATCTTAACGGCAGTTGCTCAGTTGGTGGCAGCCCAAAAGTATCTGACCAGAATAATTAGTCACTTCTCAAATCGAACACACCTTTCACGCCTTTCCTGTTTGAGCTGGTGGTTCTTTTCTTAATGCATCGTTTTTTCCTTCTGGAGCATCAGTGAGCGTTTGAACCTTTTTGTAATAGTTGTGTATGAGTCCCTTAGTTGTCCTCAGTGTGAAAAGATGGATCTCAAAATCATACAGTCATTGTTGGAAAGGGTTCAAATATGCAAAATATGCTCAAAATGGGACCTGAAGGATTGTTCTGAAGAACAGCAGGCAGTTGAACTGTTCAGGACAAACAAGGGACTCATGAACAACTATCACAAAACATAAAAACAGTCGTAGATCATCCAGGAAATGACGCACAGTATTAATATTCAAGGGTGTGTAAACTTTTGAACGGGGTCATTTTTATAAATTCTGTTCATATTTTGTCTTGTGGAGTACATATATATATATAAACATGTTTTGTGAAATAGCTTAATCAAGACAGTACTAAATAAAAAATAACATGCAATTTTCATGATCCCGATTCATGAATTCGTGAAAATTATGAACATTTTGCATATTCTTCAAGGGGTATGTAAACTTGTGCAGAACTGTATATGTAAGGGATAATCAACGGCTAGCTGTGCATTAGACGATTTGAATGCACGACGTGGAGGCGAAGAACCACCCGACGCGCGGCGGATAACACCGTATAAACTAAATGACACGCGAAAATCGTCCATTTAGCCTAGCTACGTAAATCAGAAATGTTTACGGGCCCCCAAAAAATAGCATAAAGTGTTTTTTTTCTTATTTAAATTAGTTTAAACAAATTTAAAAACCACATTTGCATTTACAATTTTATTTTGCATGGAGAGGATTGTGCCAGTTTCTCTAATCTTTTTCTTAAATGTTGTGTTTGTACGTGTGTTTCTTCACAATAAATGATTTGCATCTAATTCAAAGTGCGACTGAAGTGTCCAAATATGACAAAGAGTGAAAAATTGAAGGGGGTCTGAATACTTTCCGTACCCACTGTATATAAATTACATATAAATTGTATATTATTTTCAAATATAGCAGCTTGACTGATTATATATAATCAAATTATTATAATTTAATTATATTTAATGTTTAAATAAAAAATAGTATATTTAAATAGATGAACTTATATAACTAATATATAATAAAATATTATATATTATATAAATGATATATTATACATTTTAATATCCTTCAATATCAATATTCTTATATATTAAAATATATATACATTTTAATATCCATAATATCTAATAAAATATAATATAAAATTGAATAGATTTAATAAAATATACATATATAAATTGTATATTATTTTCAGATATAGCAGCTTGACTGATTATATATAATCAAATTATTTATTATAATTTAATTATATTTAATGTTTAAATAAAAAATAGTATATTTAAATTATATAATTAATATAAAAATTAAATATATTTAATGCAATTTATATAGAAACAAATCACATATTATATATATATAATATAGTTTGACTGATTGTTATCCAGTATTGCGCAGACAGATGATGAGAGGTTAAAAACAGTACTTTAATAGTGAGCAAATGCACAGAAAACTATAAGCTTATTGTACACATTTACATGTATGCATTTGGCAAGCAAGTTTATCCAGCGATTTACAGTGCATTCATGCTAAACATTTGATCTATTCACACTCTGGGAATCGAACCCATGACCCTGACACTGGCTGAGCTACAGAAACAAGGCATTAAACGAACATTTATATATACATTCAATTCAGATGTAATTAAAGTTCAGTTCACAAATGGGTCATTTGTCCTCGATCTCACCCGTCCAATCAAACCTCTTGCTTGATGGTGATCAAGGGCTGCGTTGAGACAAAGAAAAATAAAAGAGATTTCAGTGCGTTTGAACATTGTTCAGCGTGTTTTGTTGTTTTCAAGCATTGGTTAAATTACCAGAGTGTTGAAATGAGCTCGGCACACGGCTTTACTCTCCCAGTAGATCAGAATCAGAGCCAGAATCAACTCGAAGCCACACAACACACTGATCACCACCTTCAGCCCCACAAACAATTTTATCTGGAGAAAAACAAATCAGCGACTGACGATTGAAAATCAACACCAGCTCAGAAGTGTGTGCATATGCATGTTTGCTGTAGCGTACCTTTCTACTGGCATCTGGGCTGTTAGGCTGTAAAATGAAAGAAATGAATGAGATTTATGGACATTTCTGCAACTCTGGCTTCAATAAGTTATGAAGTTATGAACAATCACAAATTACCGGACCCGGATGTCCTTCATTTAATATTGGACAGAGAACTATAGCTACGATGGACCAGAAAAGACTGATAATGTTGAATGCGAAGGACAGCTTCACCTTTCAGGAGATAAATCATCAAATTCAGTTTCAAGCATGATCAAATAAAAGGTTATGAACAATATTTGTCCTCTGATCACTCACCACTGGCATGAATGGAGAATTTCCAGCTGTAAATGTCAGAATGCCACTTGCAATGAACTAAAAGATAGATTTTTAAAACAGACTTCAGCACAGATACAGTATCATCTTGAATGTTCAGATGTGTGTGTTTACACTGATGAAAGTTCAAGAACGAGCTGTGATAGATGCAGACTCACCAGGGCACTAGGTAGGGTGTACACTAGATGAGACGGACCGTATTCAAGAGCAATGAGGCTGCCGATGCAAATGACAAACACTCCGATGCTGAGCTGAGCGACCTGAAATATTCATATAAATAATAATAAAACAGTCTGAGATCAGAAGTTCTCCATTAAAATCCTGCATAAAGTGTAAAACAAAAATCTGTTAGACTCTGTTAGGCATTATTTCTAGGTGACTAATGAAATGTAAATAAATGAATGTCATTGATCATGTGACTATGCACTGAAAAAAATGATTCTAATTTTTTTAAGGTAAGTGGTTGCAAACAATTTATTTTAGCTACGTTTAAATAAATTTAAAAATGTTGAACGTTAGTCAACTAAATTTGTTTATTTAAATGTAGCTAAAATACATTGATTGCAACCACTTACCTTAAAAAAATGTAGCATATTCAATGAAGCCTGTTTCTGCACTGAATTGAAAAAAATAAAATAAAAAATACAAAATGTATATATATATATATATATATATATATATAAAGGTAATTGCAATCTCACATTTCTAAAAAAAAATTCTCACAATTCTGATTTTTATTTCTCAGAATTGCATGATATAAACAAAAACTTTGATATAAACTCGCAATTCCAAGTTACGAGGTCAGTAATTGCGTGATATAAACCTGAATTGCAAACTGCGAGTTTATATCTCGCAATTTTGACTTTATAACATGCAACCACAAATTATAAAGTCAAAATTTTGAGATATAAACTCACAATTGTAAGAAAATTTTCAGTGTTTTTTCCCCCTCAGAATTGGACTTTATAACTGAGAAAAGAAGTCAGAATTCCGAGATAAAAAAAAAATCTTTTTTATTTTTATTGAGTGGTGGAAACAGGCTTCCATATGTGACGA